TAGTCGATTAGGTTTCCATCAACCCTAATCGGACTAGCCCGGTCTCTACACATTACAAAGCCCATACCAATTTAGATGTTTCTAGGGCCCAATAGTTAGATCACTTGTCCGACCCATTAATTCAGATAGCCCAATATAATTATAATTGAACTTGGAATTGTTTCGACCACTCAAGCTCGAGTTTGCCTTGGATTCAGTTGGGTTCGTTCTATTAAGCTTGACGTATGCTTCGTTATAGTCATGTCAAAAATATGAAACTATGATTGTAAGAAGGTAAACAAATATAGATTCATTTGAAGACTTTACTCGTCACATCAAGTTGATAATCCATGTCCAACATTTGTGCAATATAGATGAACCTATGTTTTGCTCACGGTTATAAGCGGTTTATAAACACTTAACTCACTTTTTGTTAACACATTTTGAGGAATTCTATTTATTTATAATTTAAATCTTTTGTAAATGCTTCCCATACATGTCCCAATAACTTTTGATCTTTTATAAATTAATGACTTGGAATTAATTTGGCATGACTTTTGAAATGTCAAAAGGAGTTTTTAAGATCCAAAAGTTATTTGTGGACATGTTTGGTTAATTTTATGAAAGTGCTTATAGTAGTTAGAAGAGTTTTTAGAAGAAATTGATCCAATGTATGTTTTCAAAAATTAGTTTTTAAAAAAAAAAAAAAAATTTAAGATAACTCCTCCAAAAGCTATTTTGCGGGAAGTAAAAGCAAAAGTAAAAGTCTACCAAACGGCCCTTACTGCTTTTGTATTTTGTTAATAATAGCAATTTTAAGAATTCCCCAAAATCCTAATATAAAACAATCTTTATCAAAATGGAAATGGACATTGCTACTTGTACATCATGCTTGACATCATCATTATTCGTGAGATTTGATAGATGAATTTTTTAAAACTGATCAATAATGTGTTATCGCGTGACATAATGTAAACAATAATGTAAATGACAATTCGTATGTAGCGTGATTGTATTGAAATTGGCTTGATTCTCAACTGCATAGAAACAAATCTGACCAACCCATATCATTTTCATAGACTCATCTATCAACCCATAAATTAACAAATTACAGTCCGATGTTACATACAGAAGTTACTAGACATAATCGAATTAATATTTTCAATTTTATAAGTTAAATCAACCGACCTACCCAATTTCAGATAAGATTCAAAATTGCACTCCAACACCATATCTAGAACCAACATAAACAAACAAACAGAAGGGGGGACCTTAGTATTTTTGCCCGATTCCTCTCTTCAACCCACTTTATGCACCCCACGATTACCAGGCCCCACCAGAACAAAAGCAAAGGAAAAAACAATAATGCTAGTGTAATAGGGCAAGTGACCGACCCAAAAACAGGGGATCGATGTGACTTCATCTCGTCCCTTGATCAGAATTGCAACAGTAAAAAATCAAGGGCCACCTTGATTATTTCCTATCAAATTATAATTCATTTTTTTCCTTTTTCTTATTAATCTTATATTCTATAAAGAATAATATTACATATAAATTTAAAAAAAGTTCCTTATTTTTTAATCACACAATCTAAAAAAATTACTATTTGTCTTGTTATAACGTGAAATAATGGGAGGCAAACTTGCTAACTACTTAAAAGCAATAATTAAAGAATATGATGAGGTTGAATAAAAAATTTATTAGAATCAATAATTCATGCTTCAATCCACTTAACTTTTATATATGTAATGATTGTAGGATGAAGAACGCTTGCATAATATGGACACTACACGAATCGATGGATAAACTTCTCCTTTGCCCAGATACTGCATATTTAGCTCATCATTAGACTTTTTCTTTCCTCTTTCTTTCACCTCAAAATCTGGGCTTCCGTTTGAATGTTTTCTTCAATTCCAAGATTGATTTTCATTGTGAAAAAGTTGTTTCTTCGACTTTTAAAAGATACCCCTGTTGTTTTTTTTTTTGAGAAAAATACCCCTGTTGTTTGTTTGTTTGTATAGAACAAGTATAATGCAAATCCTAAAGAGCTCTAGTTTCAAGAACCATTAATATAATTTAATATAATTGCCATAGTGATTTTTCTTCAAAGTTGGGCTCTAATCTTGAGACCCTTCTGTTTTCTTGTGGTGACGCAATTGTTGGATACTAAATCTTGAAAACCTTTTTAAAATTTCAAGATTTTTCTGTATCAAATCAGTTCTTGAGGTGTTTAGGGTTTTTAAACTGTAGTTATTATTATGGGCCTTTTGGGCTTGAATTTCGTGTTGGGAACTAAAATCCTTGTATTATTTATGATGGTAAATTCTGTGCACAGTATTGGGGCTAATTGGGGAACACAGGCAACTCATCCTCTGCCTTTTACAACTGTTGTGAAATTACTGAAAGATAATGGGATTCAGAAGTTGAAGCTTTTTGATGCTGAATCAGATGTTTTGAATGCTTTGAGGGGGTCAGGGATAGAGGTTATGCTGGGCATCCCGAATGATATGTTGTATACTCTAGCTAATAGTGTGGCTGCTGCTGAAAGATGGGTGGAGAGGAATGTTTCTTTACATATTTCATCTAATAGTGTTGACATCAGGTAAAATTTCTTGCTTTTTTACATCTGGGCTTCCATATCTTTCCCTCCAAATTGTGTTTGTTAATGTTAATTTTGGATTTGATTTTCGTTTTCATTCTGTTATTGAAATCTAGTGGAGGGATCATATTTCCTTGTTTTTATGTTTATGTTACAAGATTAATAAACACAGACTTGACGTGAAGAGCAACGCCGACTTGTCATTCGCCATTGTAGATAAAGAAGAGTAGGTAATCTCAGGCCTCTCACGCACCAAAAACAAACCTTATAATTATTAGGTCGATCTGAGATCGAGGAAAAAATGTATAAAATGATTGGTCTCCATTCTCCAGATAGTCCAACAGTTTGATTCTCATTTGAGCTGAAAGGTGACTTTTCATAGACAAGTATGAGAAATTTGGTTAAATTTTCGATTGTTTGAGGTAGACGTGTAATGTTATTTGATGACTAAGGAAAGGTTGATTATGATTGAGGAGATTGACATCTATACGTGAAGGCATCACTGCAGAAATGTAGTTGTGAATTGAAGAAGATAGAGAGGAGTTCTAGACATTAACTACAAGACAAAATTTGGTGCTAAAATCTATTCTTAAAGATTTATAGAAACTTCAATGAAAATTTTGATTTCAAGTTCACTGGTTTTGCAGAACAATGAGATTTGATAGACGAGGCGGGTGTACTATCTCTTAAGTGGTTGTTTAGTATTTTACTGTGAGTTGGTTAAGAAGAATCTAGTATACTTGGAGATAATTTACTTGGACTCGAGATCATGTCTCCCAAAGGTTGCTTCCTGCATTCAAATACGAAACAGATTTTGCCCGAGAAATACATGACTATAGTCTGGTGACGAGTTCATTGTGGCTTACAACTGAACTCGTACAATTTTTGTTTCCTATGTTAGCTGTCTATATCTAAAGTTTCTTCAGTGTCGTATTTTATTAAATAGCGGAAGTAATAAATGAGCTTATATTAGAAAAAGTGACTGTGGAAATTGAGTTCTTGACAGCAACATGTTTTTCTTTAGTTCATATACTGTCGAATTTCCATTTATCTTTATTTTTTTCGTCTGACTATAGGTTTTTACTTTACAAGGTATGTCGCAGTTGGGAACGAACCTTTCCTATCAACTTACAACGGAACCTACCTGTCCACCACTTTTCCAGCTCTTAAGAACATTCAGGCAGCCCTGATTAAAGCTGGCCTTGGCAATCGAGTGAAAGTCACAATCCCACTCAATGCTGATGTGTACCAGAGTTCGACTGTGCAACCTTCTACTGGCGACTTCCGGCCTGATATTCATGACCTCATGGTCGAGATTACTAGTTTCATGAGTCTTAATGCGGCCCCGTTCACTGTCAATATTTATCCGTTCATTAGTCTCTACAAAGATGCCAACTTTCCATTGGATTATGCCTTCTTTGACGGATTCTCATCGCCTATCAATGATAACGGAAATATATACACCAACGTGTTCGATGCGAATTATGATACCTTAGTATGGGCTCTGCAGAAGAATGGATTCGGAAACTTAAGCATAATAGTCGGAGAAATTGGTTGGCCTACGGATGGAGACCGGAATGCAAATATCATGTTAGCACAAAGGTTTAACCAAGGCTTCATGTCCCATATCTCAGGAAACAGGGGGACCCCAATGAGACCAGGCCCCGTGGATGCTTACTTGTTTAGCTTAATAGACGAGGATGCCAAAAGCATCCAACCAGGTAACTTTGAACGACATTGGGGATTATTCTACTTTGATGGTACGCCAAAATACAATCTCAGATTAGGTGGCAACTCGGGGGGTCTGGTACCAGCAAGCAACATTAGGTATCTGCCCCGTCGTTGGTGCGTGCTCTCACCCTCTGCAAATCTTCAAGATCCTCAAGTGGTACTAAGTGTGAGCTACGCATGTTCCCGTGCTGATTGCACGAGCCTCGGGTATGGGACTTCTTGTCAAAATTTGGATACTCAGCAGAACATTTCATACGCGTTCAACAGTTATTACCAGGAAAACGACCAGCTCGATACTGCCTGCAGATTTCCAAATCTTTCTGTGATCACAAACAAGGATCCATCGGTTGGAGGGTGTAGATTCAAAATCATGATCCAGACCACAAATTCCAGGAATGGAGGATTCTTATTAGAGCCAATTAATATGCTGCTTCAAGTGATTATGTTGTTGTTAACCTTCTTGTGATCAAACAGAAATGATACACTTGGTTAATTTTCTTGCCATGTATAGGGATGCTCGGTGTGAAGGACGAGAGAGGGTTAGACAGTACAATTCACAAATTCTTTTCTTTTAAAAATATTGTCTAGTACGGTATAATCTACCTTATCAAATATGTAATTAAATTATTGTTTAATGTATATTATGTGATATACCTTTGTTATTGTTCTCGACTAAGATTCATTATGATACAATTTTTGAATCCAACACTGACATACGATCAAAAGCATTTTAACAAGTTCAAGGAAGTTTCTATCCTACAGAGTCACAAAAGAAAAATTGTGCTCAGTCGATATCTCGATCCAATAATGTGCTTTACTTATTTTTAAATAATTCATAAACATTAATGACTTGTTTATTTTAATTTGGATAAAAAAAAAAAAAAAAAACCTTAATTAGATCATTTTCAAGGGACTCTTTATTTTTAAAGAACATATTTTATAATTTAAAAAGAAAATTTTTAATTATTCGAATATGCTCTCTATATTTAATACTTAATTTTACTATTTTAAAAAAAAAATTACTATTTTTTCATATTTTTTATATTTACCAGGTTTCTCTCTAAATTATTATATTATTTTTCTTTATTAAAAATTAAAACACTTTGAATGCATTTAATTATAAAGAGTCAAAACTTACTTTTTAAATTAAAATGTTAATTTAGCCCTTATTTTTGCTCCATTTTAGTGAATTTTTGAAAAAAATATATTTTTGGAATATTTTTTTTTATTTGAGAATGCATGGCTAAAAAGTAATGAAAGATTTTGATTTATGTGTAATATTATTTTATTGAAAAACGTGATTGAAAATAAAAGAAGAAAAAAATGTATTAAATTAAAATGGAGTCCAAATAAGGGTTAAAGAGTCTCTCGAAACATTATTTTAAATGTTGACTTTTTAAAGTAAAAAGCATTTTATATTTAAAAAGACTTTCATAAATGTTCTTGAAGTAAAAAAATAACCACATCCCATGACATTATTCGGGTCGTGTCACTTAGATGATGCTAAGTAATGCTATTTATCATATGATGATGGAATATCGTTTATGTGACAACTCAATATCCCTCATATATCACTTCCTTTCTATCTTTTCTATTTCTCTAGTAAAAATTGAACTGCCCTAACTCATTATTCCTCATAAACTCTCATAACGATAAATAACACTATTCAGCCCTTATTTAATTCTCGTTATTTTCAAAATATATTTTTTTGAACCATACATTATTTAATAAAATAATATTGCACGTAAATTTAAATTTTTCCTTATTTTTTAATCACAGACAATTTACTATTCCCCTGTCCCATTTATATAGACTTATTTTTTTTTTTCACACGATTAAGAAATCTTATTTAATGTTACAGGAAAATCAATTTTTGTCAAAAACTTTCCTAATTTATCATCATTTAATTATCAATAACTAGTAGTAAATTATTATTAAAAGTAGTAAAATGGTATATTAGTAAATGAACAAAGCAAAATATATTGTTAATAAAGAAAGAAGACTATTTTAATTGAGACAAGAAAATAAGGACCCTCAGCATATGTGAATGGAACACATGGAATGTTACAAAATGCATCATACAGAATAAAAACGGGGCTAAACGAGCACTCAATGTTGTACAGAACGCTTCAGAATCTGTACCATTCGAGCCTGTCGAAATACTATAAATAGCAACACGCTCAAAATGCAGGTTCAATTTCCCCCCTCCTCGGACTAAAAGAATCCAAAATACAGAGAAATTATTGCAAAATATATAGAAGGGTTTAATCTAGGTATATGATTATATTTTCATTGTTTTGAGGTTAATTCGTTTACGTAAAATAGAAATGGATGCGGCTAGGGATTCCGAGGCGGTGGATGAAGAGCCACCACGGGTGGCGGAGGAGGAGCGACAGGAGCAAGGAGAGGAAGAAGATTGTGAAAATCAGATTTTGATAGCCAAGGAGCAGTCGTTAATTGAAAAGATCACTTCGAACCCGGAGAATCCTAACCCCAATGCCCTCCATGCTCTCTCCACTATTCTTGAGGCTCAGGAATCCAGGTACAAATTAGGCCTCTCACAGTAAATCATCTAATGAAGAATCCTGGATGGTGTTCCTGTTATGAATTATTATTGTTATTTGATTAGTTCAACATTATTTTTTAGTCGGGTTGGTTTCGTTGGGTAATTGGGTTGGGGGGCTACTAGTTAAGACACTATGTGGGCCGCTAAACTTAAAAATTCTGGATAGTTTTTTTTAAGAGGAAATTACACCTACACCTGTTTTTAGATTTCCATTTTCACAAATCCTGTCACAAGTTTAACTTTTCAATTATCAGGTTTTTATATTTAATTAATATTAATTATATAATTTTCGATATAATTAAAATCACCCAAAATCAAACCCTAAAATTCCCATTCTCTCTCTTCCCTCTCATTCTCTCCCCGTAGCTGTGACCCTAAGGTCCTTCCTCTTGCCGGCGGTCATCCCTCCCATTTCTCTCATCCGTCCCATTCTCTCCTCCCCGTCTCTGTGACCAGAAAACCGTGGCCTAAGAACCTTCCACCCGCCGGCGAAATAAGGGAACTGCCATTGGTGTTCTCGCGGCAAATGAGGGAACTGCTCACGGCCAACGGTTTTCTCGCTCCAATCTCATCTCAGCTCCAGTCCCCTCTCTGTCGCCGACACTCCACCGCCGATTGCGCAGTCCTCCTCTCTGTCG